TTTTGGTGTGACGGGGATTCGTACCCGCGACTCACAGATTGCGAGTCGAGCGCCCTAACCACCTGGCCATGCCGGGCCAGAGGCTTATGTATAGAAGTGTTATTACTCGGTAATGTATGGAGATACGTGATGCCATTTGTGTTTTACTTTTTGTCACCAGGATGATGTCAGTGTTTTCTAGCATTACTAAACTTACACCGACGGCTGTCACTGTCATGCCTCTCCTTGTAATATACCAACAAAAAAATTGCAAAAACGATATAATTTCATTATTTTTCTTGGGCATACTTCTTTTATTTAAGCGAGGAATCGAACCTCAGATTTTAGGGTTGTAAGCGGACCACTTCGGCTGGGCAAAAGACTCCGTGGACCACCTACAGGTCCTATCACACCTGTTCTGTTCTATTGTATGGCCTCGGCCTTAGTGTTGCGTGCCAATGGCTTACATTTTGGACCAGCCCGCGAACCACTTGGAGGACCCTTCGGAATATTAGTGAGCAGTGGACCACTCTTTGAAAATCACCGTTATAGAGTAAACTCATACAACAGGTTATTTGCGCTCTGTCAACCGCGGAGAAACAAACCCCAGATTTAGCTTTGTAATTTCTTAAACTTCCCTCTGACCTATCTGGGGATTTGTCCCTGAGGAAGTATACCTTGAACGGGAATGTAAGGTAAATTGATAATATTTGATGTAACTTCTTTTATCTCTCAAAGTCTTAGTTGACTGGCTAAGATGTTAGTGTTGTTTTAACAAAACACTTGCTTTTGTTATAAAATTTAAAAGGTAAGTAAAGGGTGAGTCACGAGAACGGTTGAATGTGACTTTACATTGTCCCAATATTTCAGTTGTATGACTTTAAACTGTGGATAACGTTTGACCATAACATATTAGCTTGCTGTGGTTATTTTGAAACTTTTTCAAATCGTTCCTGTTGTTAAAGTACTCAAGCGATTTGTGCAGCATGAGACTGCTGTTCGCAAATTGGTTATCAAACCTGACTCTTCCACGTGTTAATTTTTTACAACTCAAGCACTGATAGAGGTAATATTCGTTAATAAAATTGAATATTTCACATTACAGTTGACATACAAATCTTCGCGAATAACCCTGTCTCAGAAAACATCATTCTAGATAAATTCAACAAAACATATTTATTATTAATGCGAGAGTTAAAGCGCGCCATTTGTATTTTTGCTTTAGGTGATAAACGGAATTTGAATCGCAAAATGCCATTTTCTGATTTCAGGGATGGCAAGCTTAAGGATGGAAAAGAGGCACTCTTCATTAACGACCAACTTTTGGCCAACAAAAATTCACATCACCGACATCAGGCTGTAAGAAGAACAATAGGTAACACACCTCTAAGTTGACTGATATCAATCGATTATAATATGGTGGTAAGTAAATAAGAACCATTGATTATTTTAATTTCAACATAGCATACTTTGGGTGCGTATCGTTTAAAATATAGTCAGTATTATCTGTTAGACTAACTTGCATTTCAAGTAATTGCTGAATTTGAAAGGATTGCTGGATTTTAACACCAACTGCAACTGAAATAAACCAACTCAAAGTTTGATAATTTTTCTCGTTTGCAATCGTATTACATTTTTCTAATGCTGATAAACTACACAATTTCTAAATATGAGTAAATATGTTGAAATAATGTTGTGTAATTTGTTTAAATACTTTTTTTTTTAACAAGCATTCGTCCTAATGTAATGGTTCAAGTTCATAATTAATGTGGCGCCATCTTGTATTGAAGATACACAACAGGGTAGATTTTGTTTATTTGAAGTTAAACACAAAGCTACCAAATTGGCTATCTGTGCTCTGTCCACCACGTGTATCGAAACCCGGTTTCTAGCGTTGCAAGTCCGCTACTGGGGGTAACAGGGTAGAAGTAACACAAAATATCGCTGTTGGATAAGAGAAGGTAATTACCACTTTGTCTTATTGTAAACTATTCGTACACGATAACATTATTTAATAATTGTACAATACTGCTCTTATGTACATTTAAAGATGCCTACTTAACTCATCTTTATGGTTCAGTATTATAACATTATCTCAATAAAAAACAACATCACCTTATTGTCTAATAAGCTTAATTTTTTTACAATAATAATCGTTTAAGAAATATTTTATAATTCAGTTCTAATTATTAATTTCCATATTTTTATGGTGTTGTGTTAATTGAATAGAATATTATTGACTAGAAGATCGAGAGTTTTTTATGTAATTCAAAATAAATATATAAAATAGACAATTTTTAAAGAAAAAGAAATTATTTACGTTAGCCTAACATTTCTGTGCGATATTTTGAGCTTAGTTGGTTAGAAGTTTCTATACGGCGTGGCTCCATCTGTTGAAACATTCATAAACATTTTCAGTTGTGCCACAGGAGCTTACTAATTGGTACGTGACTAGTACGACTTGTATAATAATAAAAAGTAAACGATTCTAAAACTATAATGCTTAACTGTTGACTTGTGTGAATAACGTGGTTTACAGGTATAAGTTATGAAGGATATTACCTAAGGTATATTTATTATTATGAACTAGTATAAAAGCCCGTCACAAATGACGGGAAACCAAAGCCTATCGAATTTTAACCCTCAAATATGCATTCACAATTTTGCCGCCCGTAAACAGCCATAAGAAAAATAAAGGGTCTTCTAGCTTCGGGAAACCCAACCCTATCATGAGCAATATCTACTTTACCTGCCACCCATTAGCACAGCGGAATGTCTGCGATACCCGTGGTGGGCAGAGCACAGATAGCCCATTGTGCAGCTTTGTGCTTAAGTACAAATAAAGAATCCTTTACCTAAAGAGTGTCTCTTCCTAACATCGACCCTTGTCCAAGTATTCATTGATCACAGTTATTTTCTAATCAAATCAATAAACATCTTGAAGTTTCCTCATCTCTAGTTCTTGTTAATGCCACATACAACCGTTCATGTCCAAACGCAAGTTATTTGCTTCAACTTGTAGATGTGAATCAACTGCCCATTGTTGAAATAGTTTGCCGCCGTGTAATATAGCGTTAAACTCTCACTGCTGTTTGTGCAACTTTATACTGCAACATGCTGATGTTCGTTCGTTTCACATTTTCTCGACATTCCATACTAATGTGCACACGTGGTTGCCAGCCTGGTTCCCCATACGGGAAGAACAGAGCATAAGTCATTGGGTCTAGGTTCGGGCTCACAATGTTCAAATTAATCATCTGAGCGTTAGGATCTCGTGGGTAGACTCGAAAATCCCTTTCAAAGGATGGTTTTCCATCAGTATTCCAAAAACTCATCGCAACCTCGTCAACTGTAGGCAGATTGCATCTTTTTCTATTCGCATTCCTACTTCGTCTGAATGCCATGTTTACCAGTGGTAAACTTCTATTACAAAATAACCGCCAACTCTTTTTCATGACGCTCGACTTTTCCCAAAGTTTGATAAGAAGCAGCAAAAAAAATTATTCTGTCTGATCATTCTGTCTAAATGTTACTAACTTCTAAAATACATTTCTGATTTGCTCGATTGTTCATTCTTTCCTCATTTACTGCTTCTGAATACACTACATATAACTGAGCAAACTTGTCTTTGATCTCCTGCATTTGGATGCATATAAGTTGTTTGATAGTAAATTTGGCCGAGAAATCTAAAACAGTAGAGATCACGTCTCGTAGGATCTGCAGTCTGAGCTCTCATCGATGCAACAGACAAAGCAGAGTTGTAGGATCTGTTGTTTTCTTTAAATACTCTGGAACATAACTTCTTGGAGCCAAAATCACTTTTACTTTGTGACAACAATTGTTGAATCTTCCATCACTTGGTTTCTCAGCTATGAAGTTGATCGAATTGAAAAACTGACAAATAACATCCATATCTCCACTATTGTATTGTTCTAACTCATTTTCAGCAAAAGTATTATTGTCAACTGTCTTTACTCGTCTCCTCCTATCTGTTTCTTGTCTCTCATTTTGATGGCGTGTCTTTCTATACTGAGCGTCTAAAGCTCGTCTATCAGCCACTTGTTCCTCATCTTGGCTGGCTCTGTGGTTCCTTCTGTACTGAGCATCTAAAGTTCATCTATTAGCCACTTGTTCTTCATCTTAGTTGGTTCTGTGGTTCCTTCTGTACTGAGCATCTAAAGTTCATCTATTAGCCACTGGTTCTTCATCTTGGTTGGCTCTGTGGTTCCTTCTGTACTGAGCATCTAAAGTTCATCTATTAGCCACTTGTTCTTCATCTTGGTAGGCTCTGTGGTTCCTTCTATACTGAAGCATCTAAAGCTCGTCTATTAGCCACTTGTTCTTCATCTTGGTAGGCTCTGTGGTTCCTTCTACACTGAGCATCTAAAGCTCGTCTATCAGCCACTTGTTCTTCATCTTGGTTGGTTCTGTGGTTCCTTCTATGCTGAGCATCTAAAGCTCATCTATTAGCCACTTGTTCTTCATCTTGCTGGTTCTGTAGTTCCTTCTATACTGATAACCGCAGTTTGGAGGGAGTATATCAAATCTTATTAGGTCAGCCATGTTGACGACATAGAATGTTTTCTCGTGGGATTCTATAGATATTGATAAATGTGGTAAGCAGTTTATACTCTTTTTTTTCTCATAGGGAAAGAGTGTTTGAGAGTATCTAGCTTTCTAGGTAGGACCGTAGGACCAACATTTGGGTTTTCTCCCATCAATACCTTAGACATCGTGGATGACTCCCTCCCCCATCAATACTTTAGACATCGTTGATGACCCCCCTATCAAGAACTTAGACACCGTAGCTGAGCTCCCCCTTAAAGATTTAATGTAGATTGTAAATAGTTCCTACTGAGATATCTTTCTTTATTGCAATTTGGTCTTTGAAAAACAAATTCAAGTATAAACAACGTTGTATAATAATATGTATTGCAATAAATCGAATTCTTGTTGAAAATACTGTTTTGTTTGGAAATTTCAAAGAGAATATATCTACATTTACAGAGCCCCCCCCCCCCAAGTTTCTGAACCGCTGGCACGAGAAATAGGTAAAAGAAGTGATTGTTTTATTTCCTTCATTATTAATTAGAATCAACACGTTTTTATCTATCGTATTGTGTGTTTTTAATGTTATTAAACTAAAGGCAAGTGTTTATTAGTTTTTACATCATTCAAGAGTGTCACACTAATTAACGGATATGAAAACAAGTAATAAATTTGTTTTTGTATTAAACAGCAACGTCACATTAAGATGGTTATTGTAAAAAATCTAAATTGTCAATAATAATTGAAAGCTGACAGAAAGCCAAAACCAATTTTCCACTTTAACCGGTACATCAGAAAATGACTAACACGTGTCATCAGCATCCAAAATAAGTTTATTATTTTCGTTAAAGTTATTTATTAATATCATCATAGATTTTCAAACATCAAAAATATTACTCCAGTATTAATAACATTCAACGAAAGTGATTGTCCAAGCTGGTATTTGCTAATTGTATTGAGGATGAGTATCAAACTTTGGTGAACTTCAAAGGATGTCATGGTTTGACGAGTGTTCCATAAGTCGGGGGAACTTTTCATGAATATACTTGAAAGTGGATGGCAAACACCCCTTTTTTCTGGACTAACGAAGAATGATTATATTCGAGGTTTAGTAAAGCGTGTATGACTCAAATGCTGCGACATGGTTCTGAGTTATTGCTCTTCTACGTAGAGTATGCTTATAGACGTCTTAAAAAGTAGGATACCATCCGCCTGATGGAATACCGACGAAATTGGTTTACTTAACCATTTTTTTCTTCTATTTCTATGGCAAAATTAGATTCTACATCTTTAAGCTTCTTTACTGACTTCTGAATGATGTCACGAATCACTTAATCTTTTCATTTCTTCTCCCGCCTCTTACTCTGCTTTTGTCCAATTGCTTAAGATTGAAAATGCAGTCTTTAATGTATTCAATATTCTTATTTCTGGTTTAGCTGAATACGGAATGGGCCCAGGTGGAGGCGATAGCTCTGGTGAATGATGGCTCGGGGTTGGGGTTTGGAATCATCGGTGGACGTAGTACCGGTGTAGTGGTAAAAACGTTGACTCCCGGTGGTATTGCAGAAAGGGTAAGGAAACGTCTAATATTGATTTTGTTTAAATTTGTGCAAAGAACTATAGAATGAAGTAGGTAACAAAAGCCGCATACTTTAAATAATATGGTTATTTTATAAGACCGAAATGAGATTCAAAATTCAACTTCTAGTCGCCTTATAAAGCAAACGACTTTATCATGCATCTCTGTACACACACACACACACACACACACACACACACACACACATATGTATATAT